CCTCTCCACTGTCGCTACAAGCATGCTTAGTGTGGGGGATTGTATTTGAGTCAATGAGTCAATGCAATCAACTGGTTTTCCTTAGATAGAAAACTTTGTATCAATTTGACTGTATGATCTGGTTGAACTGTAAAGTGCCTTGAGATGACATGTGTTGTGAATTTGGCGCTATATAAATAAACTGAATTGAATTGAATTGAATTAATAAGGCTCTAAGATTTACACTGTAATAAAGCATCTGCTAACCTAGTAACATGCAGCCTAAGCCTGCCAACGGTGTATTCATCACCACAGCGGCTCGTATCATGCAGGTTAGTTTTTTTTTTATAAATTCAGCTCCTTAAGTGGTATTAGCTCTCTTTCTATAAGCTTCTCTCTCTGTCCTTCCTCTGCTTCTCATGGTTACTCTGCACATAGGTTTGTAAATTTTCAATCCTCAAATGATGACACTGTTTTCTTTATGCTGATCAACATTTTTTGATATCATGTATGGTTTGACTGTGCAGCTTTTAAGATGAGTTTGTTTCTGCCATTTTACTGCCAGATGATTCTACCCTACAAAATCTTCAGATGATTCAATTGTTTTCTGCAGTTTGAAGTTTCTGATGACTTCATGTCACATTTTTATATGTTCTGCAGTTAATTTCAGCTTTTTTCATTCAGCAAAAGCATTCCCACTTTGATGTTTCTCCGAAACAGCTTTTTCTAGTTTATATTGTATTTCATATGATCTTTTTTTGTTTCTTTGAATGTGAATATTGTTTTATGTAAATAAAACAATATCCAAGACAAAGCTTTTTAGTTTCTTGTGAGTATATTTATACCAGCAGACATGCAAGTACTGCACAGCTGATGCAAGGGGGCGCCACCTAAAATCTTGCCTAGGGCACCAAATTGTTTAGGGCCGGGCCTGGGTCAGATTTTGCGCGTGCAAATTAGTTTTTGGTAAATAATAACCTTTGCATGGAAAGGGAAGAACGCAAGTTTCAAGCCCTGTTTTGTGCGTATAGAAGCTTTATAAATGAGACCCTAAACCCTTAATATCTCTCTGAATTATTGAATTGATTTTGAATTCAAAAAGCTTCCTGGATGGGAAGCGAAACCCTTTAAAACTTGGAAACAAAGTCCAGTGGATTGTGCTTTTTTTTTTTACTTTTCTGAATGACTGACCTGGATGACTGAGAATCTTCACCAGCATATCTCTCTGAATGATTACAACCAACCGTAGAGCGTGGTACATAAACACAGCATTACACTTTATATCTACACAGATTACTTTCAGCCTTCAATTATCTTAGAACAAAAAACTAGTTCTTAAAAAAAAAAAAAACGTTTATTGAACAGATAAATCCATGATTTAGACCAGGGGGTCAGCAACCCACGGCTCCAGAGCTGCATTCGGCTCTTTAATGCCCCCCTTGCAGCTCGCTGGAGCTTCTTTAAAAAATGTATGAAAATAGAAATATGGTGTGCAGGAGGTCAAACAAACATTCATTACATTTCCATTTTTTTTAAATGTGTATAATTAATACATTTAAACAATATGTGTAAAAATATCTTTCAATGGAAATTAGCGTCATAGCCATAGAGATCAGTGGTCACAGCCTGCAGCAGGTTTCAGCACGGTGTGGCGCCAGGCAGGTGGCTGCTGTAAATCCTCACTGCTGTATCTAGACCAACAGCGTATTGCGCAGACCACGCTTAAAATTCAGCATAAATAAAAAATATTGGTGTCAAGCTCACTGCGACGCAGATATTTTTGATTTATGCCTTTAATCAGCCTTCAGGCCATGGATCCCAAAGAGGAAAAAAAGGAAGATAGCTGATGAGAAAAGAGGATTCAAAGAAGAATGGAGCAAATTAATTGCTTTCATTACCAATGAGGAAGGATTGCCTGCATGTTTGCTTTGGAATGAGAAGTTTGCAAATAATAAAAAGAGTCATTAGGAAAGGCATTTCCAGGGAAGGCTAAATATGCAGCCCAACACCAAGCTGGGAGAGAAAAACTGTGATCGCAGAACCTCTGGATAAATTAGAGGAGAACAAAGATAGATTTCAGAAGTGGATTGCATCTCCAAACTCCACTACAGCTGCTTGTTTGGTTGAAACATAGAAAACCATTCATAGATTGAGCATGTAGCACTCTGATGCGTTCTTTATACTGGGCTAATACACTTAGAGCCCTTTTTGCCATATGAGGCTTATAGAAGCTGCTTCAGACAGATTTTTTTTTTTTTTTTTTACCAATATGACTCTTTGAGCAGTTTGGGTTGCTGACCCCGATCTAGACTATCTGAACAATAAAGAAATAAAAGAAGAAGCCAGAGGCACAAAACACATGAGCCACATACCAGATATATCCAAAAACAGGTCATTTATTCTTTCTTTAATCATCATCATCATCATTTGTAGAGCGCTTTAAAACAACTACAGCTGTAAACAACGTCCTTAACATAGCTAAAAATAATAAAACCCAATAAAATAATCAAATACAGCATAAAAATATAAAATAATTCAGAGATTTTTATTTTTCAACAACATGAGCGCAGCTTGAAACTGTCAGCTAAATTATCACTTCCTGTTAATGATGAGTTCTTTTCAAAATAAAACGATACCCAGTCTTCTATAAAGTTATTAAACCGGTGTCAGTGCTTTATTTTGAAGTTCCCCACCGGAAGCAGTGGGTTTGGCTAGCTCGGTCTCCCGGAAGTTGATGAATAGTTGAGGCATAAACAAACCTCGGGCTCTGTCCCCGCGGTGTTTAGGCTGGCTGTGATGCTCCGTGAGGCTTTCCCCTTCGTGGAGGACAGCTTCAGCCGCTTCCCGTCCCAGAGCAACATTTACGGGCTGTGTCAGGCCGGGGAGCAGGAGCTGCTGGCGGCCACTCTGAAAGGGAAGGTGGTGTGTTTCAGGTACCAGGAGCTGCAGCATAAAGTCCGGCCGGTGGCCAAGGAGGTCCAGTTCACCTACATACCAGGTACCGGAGGCACCACTGGACCCTGTGTCCTACCACCGGCTCGCGGACTGATTCCTGCTTTCTTTGTGCAGTTGATGCAGAGATCGTATCGATTGATGCCTTCAACAAGTCTTCACCCAAAAGAGGTCTGGTGGTGGGGATCACCTTCATAAAGGTACCGGTACAGCAGCAACATTTAGCGCGCTTCTGAAAAAGTCTCTAGATTTGGCGCTAGGAGCTTTTTAGAAATCAAAGTGCTAGAGGGGTCTGAAAAGTGGCTAAATATAGCGACTAAAGCGCTAAGTTGGCAACACTGCTCTTAGCATCGTTTGTTTTCAAATGGTTTGCTGCTGTCTGTTTGGACCTTTCTGAACATGTGCAGCAAATGGACTGATCCAATATGGACACTGAAGGGGGGAGGGGGCTGAGACACAATATTATCAGCGTTCTGATGGCATTTTATTGAAAGGATTTTTATCAAAAACACAATTAATGAGCACAAATAAGGAATAGTTGTATTAACCATTCATGGAAACAGAGTTTTATTGCTCTATGGGCTCAAAGCCTGCACCGATGCATCAGTGCTGCTGGACCATCAATACTCTGCAGTCCTATAGTGGTCATACCAAAACATTAAAGTCGTAGGGAAGCAGCTGTTCCAACCGTTGCTTTTGCAAATTCTCCTGAGTGGTGCCCAACTTTACATGAGTGAATCAAGTGAATGTGATTGGTCGTTTATCAAGGGGGCGGGATTGTTGTGGCGGAAGGTTTGCAAGCAAGTTTGGTTGTGTCCGGTTTGTCGGAAGCATCTTGCTAACCAGTTAGCAACTTAGTGCTAGTAGGTTCCCAATGGGAAATTCCATTAGGACCAAGTAGCACTAAATTGGTGACTTAGAAACGACACTGTCAAGGAACGCTATGGACAGAGGAAACATGCAAGAGGAGGAGAGTTTAGTGTCGGAGGTCGTGGATGAGTCTCCTCCATCATCCATTTTTTTATTTAGAGGAGGAAAGCGGGGACGAAGATGCTGTGGAAGAGGACGCCAGGGCGGCAGAAGCTTGGTCTGGTGTAGAAGGCTTCCAGCCGTACATGATTCTGATTTCAACCGTTGCGTATATTAGCTGCGACATAAGAATCAAGATGCTTTGACCGAAAAAATTTGATTGACAGATGACCGTTGATATATGATTGGCTGAATTTAGGTGTTAAGGCTGACGTAGAACTAACTGGCCTGCAGAAGATAACAAAAAAAAAAAAAAGATTTTAAGACAGATTTTTTTTTTTTATAGAAATGTTCTAACTTTTGGGAGAATATGGTCGGATAAAGAATACATTTATATACATGTTTAAGCCAGAATGGTTTAAAATTTAAATATTACTTCCCTACATTTTTAACATCTGGGTTTCATTAGCTGGCCCCAGAAAAGTCATATAGGAGGAGGAAGGAATGCTGCCTGCTCGGCTCTTCACTGAGAAGGTCCAGATGATGACTCCAGCTTAGCTGATCTCTGCAGAACATCTGAAGCTGCAAAGGTTCAATGATTGACTTGAGAGCAGCCATTTTTAGTTTCTCCAGATGTTCTATCACAGTGGTTCTGGTCTAGCCTCTGCCATGTAGAGTCCTAATGATCCAGACATCTAGCTGTGCTGTCAGGCAGCTGAAAGGTTCTGGTTCTAAGATCCGGTCCTGTTCCCCACCGTCTGCAGGACTCTGGGGACAAAGCTACTCCTTTCCTGAACATCTACTGCGACTATGAGCCCGGCTCAGAGTTCAACCTGGAGTCCATTGCACGTGAGTGAAGCCGTGTGCACGCTGCCCCACACACACAAACACACCCTCCTCCTCATGATGATCTGTTCCTCTGAGCAGAGAGCTGTCTGAACCTGGAGCTGCAGTTCACGCCCTTCCAGCTCTACCACACTGAGTGAGTTTATCTCCAACATCCAAACACACCTGCTGCTTGTTCTGCTTCCTGTCTGGTTCAGATCTTCCAAAATGTTCATGGATGTTTTCTGAGGAGTCTAGTTCAGTGGGGAGCTTTCTTTAGACGAGCGTATCCTGGCATGTCTGAAGCTTTCTCTCTGTCAGGGTGCCATGTCCCGATGGAGGACTGGAGACGGTTTTCCTGCTCAGTGGTCATGACCAGAGGATCCACCTGTACAAGGAGGTCAGATCATCCACCGCTTCTAGACCCAACTACCATACTTTAATGGAAAGCAGTTAAATGAAGGAAATGTGTTAGAATGTAAATAGAAAATAAGCATTTTCTGACCCTTTTGGTTCAGTTTACTGGTTCACTTTAGGATCTGCTTACAAAGGGTGAGGCATGTGTTTCCTGTAGTGATGTTTTCTACGTGTTGTGGTCTCATTAATCCCAGTTCTCCCACAGAATGCCTCTCTGCACCAGTTTGAGGAACAACCTGTAGAGAAACTCTTCCCTGAACTCCAGCAGCTGCTTAGCAAGTCAGTTCCTCTCCGCCTTCAGCCTCCGTTCCTCCTCTTACTTCATCAGGTTTAATGTTTGGACCATTGCTGCTTCTAACTGATCTTTTCATTGTTTTCTGTCACTTTGTTTCATTTACCGCTTAATAAGCAGAATCGATATTAATGGCACAGGTTGGTTTTCCATTTGTTCACATCAGAACCAACAACAAGCATCATGTGGAATAGTTGGTGGGTGGTGGGATGCAGCCCAGGGTAACAGCAGGATGGTAAGGGGGAGGGGTGTAAATAATAATCGTTTTGTATCGATGCATCGATCCAACAGCCGACGATCCGATGCATCGATACGTCCACAAGAGAATCGATTCATGTGTTTTTTTTCCTCCGGTCTATTTTTATCCATTTGCTCCTGGACGTAATTCTCCCTCCTGTGCTGCGGTGGCGCTAATACTCTTACAGCAGTGTGTTACAGTGAGCTTGATGCAGACATTTTTGATTTATGCTCGATATTGAAGCGTGGTCTGTGCTAAAAACTGTGGGTCTAGATACGGCTGAGGCGGTGAGGAAGTGGGGGCGAGTTTAGTCTGACGACGAAGGGACATGAGGGCCAAAAAGAGAGGAGATCCAGGTGGAAAAAGGGTCCCAATGTTCTCGCGCACCTCGCTCTTCTAGATGGTCAAACTTCATGAGTTGTTTTCCGCAATTTCGGTCATAAAAACAAAACAAGCCTGCATCCTGTCTGCGGTTCGCCACAATCTGGGAGAGGAGCAGCGGAGCGTCTGTGGAGGGGGCGGGACGTCTGGAGCCGAGGTATTGCATTGCACTCATTGCACTGATTTTGTGCAGTATTTTTTATGCTAAGCCTATCAGAAGCTATAACGCAGAGGTATTATTATTCATCAGTGAATGAGGTTTTAATAGGAATAGGTGGAGTACAACCTTTCTACTTCTGTTATTTGCTGTTGTTTCTCAAATTAAATGCATAACAATATTACAGCTTTCATTGATTTATTTCAAATTTGACACATTTTCTAGCCTGTAAGGTTAAAAAAATAAATATATTCACCAGTTAATCGAACCGTATCGTTGTGTATTCTTGAGTATCGAAAATAATCGAATCGTTGGGTCAGGAATTCGATACTGAATCGAATCACCATGTGTTTCAGAAATTGATAAAAACAGGAAGGCAGCCGTAACTCAACAGGGAGCCGCGGCGATGCTTTCATCACCCTCTCTGTGAAGAAGAAGTTAGTTGTTAGCAAGGTTAGCATTTGGGGCAGAAATTTAGTATCAAGCTATTTTAGCAGTTAGCGTAGTTAGCATTGGTAGATTTTCTGTGTAACCTTGTGAAGGTTTTAAAAGGTTTTCTACTTCAGTTATTAAGTGGCTTTTTTATTGCTGGTAACTCCTCCTGACAAGTAGGATTTCTTTCTTTTTACAGTCGTTTTTTTTTCTAACCAGTCACACAAAGACCATACACTTCAACCCTTAGAAAGAAAATCATGTTTAATGGTTCTGGTATTTGATTAATGGCCATCAGAGATGGCAAAAGTACTCACTTTCCGTACTTGAGTAAAAGTACAGATACTTGTGTTAAAAAATACTCTGGTAAAAGTGGAAGTACTGGTTAAACTTCTTTACTCAAGTAAAAGTAACAAAGTACAGGCTTGTAAATTTACTTAAAGTATAAAAGTAAAAGTAGAAACCACTTTTTTCATGCCGTTGCCTACATTTTAAATGGATGTCTGCCAATAGGACTAGATCTCCGTTGTGTTCATTTTCAATCATCTCGTCGTCCATGCTACTATGCTAACGCCACCGCCACCAAGCTGCAATGATTTGCCGCCAATGAATACCGCCGAATTTGTCGATTCATCTTGTAGTGGTACGTCAAATGCAACGTAGATTCCCATCCAATTAGATTGAATTTGGTATTGATGACGTGAAAAATAATAACGGTAACTCCATAGAAATGATTCAAAACTAAAGTAACGAGCCAATTTTTTAAAATGTAAGGAGTAGAAAGTACAGATATTTGTGTAAAAATGTAAGGAGTAGAAGTAAAAAGTCGCCATAAAAATAAGTAGTAAAGTAAAAATATCAGAAAAATCTACTTGAGTACAGTAACGAAGTATTTGTACTTCGTGACTTCCCATCTCTGATGGCCATCCAAAAACAAACACCAATCCCTTCCTCACAAAGTGTCCATGTTTCCTCCCAGGTAGACAGGCTCCAACATGAACCGCCCCACAGCCAGAGCTTTGCATAAACATTTCTACAATGTTTATGGCTGCATTAATTACATAAATGAATCACAGCATCATCAACAAAAAAGGCAAAAATAGACTTTTGTAGATCAGATGATGGGAATCTGCACAGAAGCAGGAACATGTTTTATTTTGTTGGTTTCACTGGACAAATATCACATTTAAATACATTTTATTTTATGTAAAGGAATGCAGGTGATTCATTTTACTTGATTTCAAGTTTTGAATACTTTCCAAAATAAAACGTTTGATTCTGCTAACTGTGGATAGATCTGGTAAGTGTAGAGGCTAAGAGGCGTAATCAAGGCACGTCTTGGGCTTTCATATGGCGTGTTATTTCTCTCTAGGGATAACACCTTCCTGTTATCCCTTGAAAGTCTCTCTCTCTCTTCCTCTATTGAAGCTTAATTAGTCCAGCTAGGAATGGTTTGATGCTCTGCCTTTTTCATTGGATGGTTGTGAACGTTTGTGGTCACTTCTTCTGTACAGCGTGTTGTGGTTGGACATGACGAGTGTCCCTGGTGGACGTCGGCTCTCAGCATATGGCTGTCAGAACGGCTGCGTTGGGCTGGCTTTGGTCAACCAGAGCGGACCAGGTGAGTAAAATTAATCTTTTATCGGATATGTAAAATTCTGCAAAGTGCAGGTGGTTCTGCCTCAGCCTCAGTGATTCTGGCTGCTCCTGTGATCAGATTGAAGGTTCTGACACTAAGCTGTGTTTCACCGTTTCTTTTCTTCAGAGGTTCTGCAGAACTGGCAGGTTCAGTTCGACAGTCCGATTTCCACTGTGCTTCTGTTCCCACTCAGCTGCCGAGCCAGGCCCAGCGAGCCCAGCGCAGGCAGCGGTATGTCCCCAGTGGGCCCAGTTGGACTGCTCTCCGGCTCGTTGTTGTTTTTGTGTTGATTTGTTGATGTTTTTGGTTTTTCCAGGTGATGACACCCACAGCTTCAACCTGCTGATAACCAGCACCATAGAGATGGCGGTGGTCTACAGGTGGGCATCAGGAAGCAGGACACAGGTTCCCTGAAGGTCCTCAGTTCCACTGAGACTCTCCTGAATGTGTTTCCTCAGAGACATCCAGGAGTTTGGCTTGGCCCGGTCCACCTGTCTGTCAGGGAGCGATCAGTGGGATGCGGTCCTCTGTGCGCTGGTCATTGACCTGGACTTCGATGGGCAGAAGGAGGTGCTGTTGGGAACGTACGGTCAGGTCAGAACCACTCATTACATAAACAGCTAATCAGCCTCATGTGTTGTAGAACTGGGTCGGAAGCTCGTTTCACCTTCTGCTTCTTTTTTCCTGGTTCTTTGCCTCTTTGGCAAATTTTAGAAACTTTTTTTTGGATCCTCAGCAGCAGCAAATATTTTTAGTATTGGTTTCTATTTGGACAGTTGTTTCACAGAGTTACTATAGCAACAAGATTTTATTTTATTTATCTATTTTTTAACTGGTGGGAAGAGAATATTACTTGTTTATGTAAAATATGTAAAGACCTTAAGCAGAGTCTGAACAGCAGCTGAAATTCCCAGCTGGTTCAGAACGGAGCAGCTGGTGAGAAGAAAGCAGCTGAAATGTTCTCATGGTTCTGCAGAGGAGCTACTGGGTCCCTAAAATATATATTTTTTTTGTTGTTGTTTTTTTTGCTCTCTGTCAAAGCAGCAGAGAGACAGAATAGAAGAGTGAGGAGGAAATGGGTGGATTTTTAGAGAGAATTTTACAAAAACAAGTAAAGAAAAACCTGACCTGAACTCGAGTGGTGTTCTGTTGTTGGACTTCTGTGCTCGTCATGGATTGTCCATAACGAACACCATTCAAGCATAAGGGTATCCATATGTGCTCTTTGCACCAGGGCACCCTAGGCCGTAGTTCAATGATCAACTTTGTTGTTGTTTCATCTGACCTGCAGCCGCATGTTTTGGACACTGGGGTGAAGAGAGGGGCGGAGTTCTCCACCGACCACTACCTGGTGGTGAGTTTGCTCCAATGATGGGGGAGGATGCCAGTCAGACCTGGTAGGCCCAAACGTATTGTGAGGGTCTGCTTGGAACGTCTAGCAGAGTCCCCCATGAGAAGGAGCTTATCCCCCACCTTCGGGAGAGCTTTGAACACATTCCGAGGGAGGTGGGGGACATTGAGTCGGAGTGGACCATGGTCCGTGCCTCTATTGTTGAGGCGGCTAGTCGGAGCTGTGTCTGCAAGGTTGTCAGTGGATGTTGTGGCGGCAACCCTAGAACATGCTGGTGAACACCAGTGGTGAGGGAAGCTGCCAAGCTGAAGAAGGAGTCCTATCGGGCTTTATTGACCTGTGGGTCTCCAGAAGCAGCTGATGTGTACCGGCAGTCAAAGCGGCGGGTGGCTCGGCTGGTCGCTGAAGAGTTCGGAGAGGCCATGGAGAAAGACTTCCGTACAGCTTCGAAGTGATTCTAGTCCACAATCCAGCGTCTCGGGGGGGAAGCGGTGCAGTACCAACACTATTTATAGTGGGGGTGGGTTGCTACTGACCTCGACTCAGGACGTCGTATGTCGGTGGGCAGAGAACATCGAAGACCTCCTTAATCCCACCAACACGCCTTCCATTGAGGAAGCAGAGCCTGGGGGCTCCGGGTCGGGTTCTCCTATCTCGGGTGCTGAAGTCACTGAGGTGGTTAAAAAGCTCCTCAGTGGCAAGGCTCCAGCGGTGGATGAGATTCGCCCTGAGTACCTTAATGCTCTGGATGTTGTGGGGCTGTGTTGGCTAACGCGGCTCTGCAACATTGCGTGGACATCAGGGGCAGTTCCCCTGGACTGGCAGACTGGGGTGGTGGTCTCTCCATTTAAAAAAGGGAACCGGAGGATGTGTTCCAACTACAGAGGAATCACACCCTTAAGCCTCCCTGTTAAGGTCCATTCCGGGGTTCTGGAAAGGAGGGTCCATCGGATAGTCGCATCTCGGATTCAGGAGGAGCAGTGTGGTTTTTCGTCCTGGCCGTGGAACACTGGATCAGCTTTATAACCTCAGCAGGATTCTAGAGGGTGCATGGGCGTTTGCCCAACCAGTCTACATGTGTTTTTTGGATCTGGAGAAGGCATTCAACCGTGTCCCTCGGGGAGTCCTGTGGGGGGTACTCCAGGAGTATGGAGTCCCGGGCCCTTTAATAAGGGCTGTTAAGTCTCTGTATGACCGGTGTCAGAGCCTGGTCTGCATTGCCGGCAGTAAGTCGGACTCATTTCCGGTGAGGGTTGGATGGTTGGCCAAGGTTGCCCTTTGTCACTGAACCAATTTGCGAAACCGATTTGCCTTTTCCGGTGAAACACACGCCCATACACACATCATTTCCCTTCTCTTATAGAGTTTGTACATATTGGCTTCTACACCATTTATTCAACAGAAATGAAAATACAGCATAGACACACCAAAAGAGCTGTAGATAAACAAAATAGAATTACTCCACTTAACATATGACCACGTTTTAAAAACAATACCATAAAGGATGAATGCCGTTAGCTAGCATTAGCTTATTCAAACTTCTATTGGATAAATAAACTCTAATTAAACTTTGAGTTATTATAAACATAAAACTACACAACAAAGCAAATTATACCTGTTCGCCTTTTATAGATGCCCTATAAAAATGTGGATGGAAACCTGTAATGTCCTTTAATGAGCAGAAAAAACCATCTGGTATTGACAGGAACGTAGTGCTTCTTTTCGTTCTACCGGAAACTGAAATAGAAATCATCCCTTCAAAGTAAAGGCACGTAAACCCTGTTGCCGAAATTCACTATTAATCTAAAATGTATTGCTTAAAACAGAGGAATCAGGAACATTAAGCATAAAAACAAATGGCAATGTATGAATGAAAGCATATCTGAAAAAATATTAGTTATAACAAATAATCTGACTAACATCTGACACCATAGATCCAGTTAGTCACAGTCAGAGAACAGGACTACACTGAAAAACAGGCCAAGCTCCAACATCTAGAAACAAAGGTGTTGATGGCAGCAGCACAGCTGATATTTCTCTCCAGGATGGAGTCACAGCCAAACAGGAACAGACCAAATGAAGCTACTATGAGAAAAAGCAGAGAGAGCAGAACGTTTTTATATTATTTTTGATTTTATTTAATAGGCGATGGATTTTCTTTTCCCACCACACAGCTCTAGGTGATGAAGACTCTCTGTCCCTCTTCATCATGCAGGAACTCCTTTGTTACAAATTCATGCCGGCAGGCGGCGGGCCGGACGGAGGCTTTCAGCTGCAGTGGAGGCGGAGCTTCAAGAGTCCTTTGCTGTCCATCATCTACCTTGACTTGACCGGAGACGGTCTGAGGGAGCTGGCTGTCCTCACCCTGAAAGGACTCCACATCCTGCAGGTAGCAGCAGCCGCTCAGACCTTCTGCCTTCTGCAATGATGACCTCTGCTGTTAGAAAGACAAACTGCTGCTGAAAAAGATCAACATTTTACTGTTCAGCTGTTATAATGAAGCTTATTAGACTATTCCTGAAAGCTTTACTGAATCCACATGGACCTTAAACATTACGCTGCAGGTGATTCACGTGTCGTCATGCAGAGGCGTAGCCAGAACCTTTTAATAAGGGTGGCCAGGCAATAACCAATGTAGACGGAGGGCTGAAAGCAGATGGGCGCCAGAACCTCAGAGTCAATCTACACTGTTCCAACAGGTTAATGAACGAGCAAAACATCCATGTTTTCTAAATAAAGACAAACTATACTTTCCTTCAGCCTTTGCTAACAAATAGACGCATGTATTTAACATCCGTGCTGTCTAAATTAAAGGCACAGTGGACAAAATTCTTTCAGGTTTGAGTTCTGGGGCAAACATCTTATTCATCATCATTACTAGGGTTGGGAATTGATAAGATTTTCACGATTCCAATTCCCTTATTGATTCTGTGAAATGCTTCGATTCTCTTTCTGTTTAATGAAAAAGCATTACTGTAAGATTTTTAGGAAATAAACTAATCTCCCCCAATTTAAACAAATGAGCGTCACCTTTCTCTCGCTCCCTGAACTGCGGAGCAACTTCGTGGCATGTTTCGTTACATCCGTTACAATAGCTAGAATCATGTAAGAATTCCAGCTACCAGTAGTTCTAATTAAAAACGCTATGAAATGGATCATTATTTACACCTAAAACTAATACGTTCACAATGATTTAATAAATTTAGTGTTAATCAGTTCAAAAAATTAAAACTGATTTTCATCCTGATCACTGAGTCTGGGAGCGGCCATTTTTTCCCAAATATAGTAGCCCTTCTCTCCTGCCATCTTCCAGCAGTGACGTCACGGTGCGGTAAGCCTAGCGCCATTCTCCCCGATTTCCAAGCAAAATCAATGGGAACTACTAGACACATCTGCAATCAACAACAATTATTGAAGATTTCCAGAGGACTTCACCATTGAAATTCACCAGAGCTATAGTGAAACTGACAATGCCCACGTGCATGGCAGCTGGATGCTGGAATACATCAGGTAAAAGTGAAAAAAAAGTTATTACTCCTTTCTGATTCCTGATCCTCCACGGACGGGTTGGTCGTTGGATCGCCAACTTGAAGAGGGAGGATTTGCCATCGAACTTCTGGCCAGAGAAAAAACCCGTAATATGTAGCCAACATTTGGAAGAAGAATGTTTTGAAGGTGACTTGGATATTGTTACGTTCACACCTGATGCAACTGGAGCAGCAAAAATGCGTCTGCTGCTTCCTTTTTGCTGCTTGTACCAGTTTAGTTCTGACGCGCGGCTGAAGCAGCTTTGCTGCTCTGGCTGCGCGGTGGAGGAGGGGGTCTGACTCGCGTTGGGCGTCCGGTGTGAACGCAGCATAATAGCGCGTTGTGACAAACACCAGATACAGCACTGGGACTTGATCAACAGCCGATACCGCACCGTGACATCACTAACCAGTAGGTGGCAGTAGTGTTGTTTGACAAACATGGATGCCTCCAGTAAAGCACATGAAAATATGCATAAACACTGATCATTTATTGAACAGTTTGGAATAATTTCATATTTAAAGTGCTTTTTCTCAGAAATTTTTAATGTTAAATAAGTTAAAACGTTTCGCTTGAGAGTATTACTGCTGCCAGCGTTTGTATTATAGGGAAAAAGTGTGGCCATGGCCACCCCTGACCCCCCATCTAGCTCCGCCCCTGTCGTCATGGCGCTACATTCTCTCTCTCACCTGTTGTTCTCTCTCATCTCTGCAGCACAGTCTCACCTGCACCACTGATCTGGTCCTTAAGAGGCTGGAGAAGAGGGTGTTGGCGCTGGCGGCGCACTCTGAGCTACATCCACAGGAAGTAGAAGACGCCAAGGACAGCGCCGCTCACCCCCAGAACCCTGATGATGGCGATCGGCCCCCAACATGTTAACAAGGATCCAGAGTTTTACCTCTGTGTTGGTCCCAGCGGGGCACACTGGAAGGCTGCCTGAAGGATCATCTCAGGTCACGTTCTGCAGACAGACCTTCAGGCGTTGCTCTGAAGCTGTGGGGCATCGATCCGATGAAGCTGCACCGTCTGAATGAACTGATGTGAGATGACTTGAAAGTGTTCCGTTTTTAGGAATAAAAACACTTTTATAGCTGATTGGTCTTCTTTCTGTGTGTTTTTGCATGCTTGCACACAAGAACAAAGAGAATGCTATGTGTTGTCCATAATGAAAATGCTTCCAAACCAACATTTGGCTCTTTATGTGGTTCTCCTCTTTACTGAGAGCAGGAGGTCTGATGTTTGGCTCATCCCAAGGGTCTTCCTTAGTCTCAGCCTGCAGGTGTCCAATACTTCCCCATAGGCTGGATTTGTTAGGAGGTCAACTCCTGACCAACAGCCCATAGTACCATCAGTGCCAAACCTCACGCTGACTCAGCAACACAGGAAGGCGTTTATCTCCTGGACACAGCCAAACCCAAGCTGATCTGACCCTGAGGTCGTTCCCTTCATGGCTGAGAGGTTACCGCTCTGCAGGCCGGACTGAATGCACCTCTGGGATCTTGGCAAGGTGTGGCTTCTGATGGTGACCTGCTCTCTGGGCTGGACTTCAAACAGCCGGTGATGACGTGATGGCTGGTTCTTCTGTTTTAAGGCCTGGTTGCCTTCAATAAGCTGCCTGTTACTTTTATATCCTGTTATCTTTTTGCTGTTTTCTTTGTTTTTAGCAGGTTTTCCACTGCAATGTTTAATGAATCTCAGACAAACTGCGTTATAAGTTGTTTAATATATAATGAAATGTCAATAAACTGACTCAGTGGATCAGTCATATGCCTGATATTTGAACTGAAAATCGGCACTAAATAATTGAAAAATACAATTTTATTATAAAGATTCATAGAAACATTGCTCCTTTTCATGTGTGCATATACAGGTGCTGGTCATAAAATTAGAATATCATGAAAAAGTAGATTGATTTCAGTAATTCCATTTAAAAAGTGAAACTTGTATATTATATTCATACATTACATACAAACTCATATATTTCAGATGTTTATTTTGTTTAATTTTGATGATTACAAATGACAACAAATGAAAATCTCAAATTCATCATATCAGAAAATTAGAATATTGTGAAAAGGTTCAAAATTGATGGCCCCTGGTGCCACACTCTAATCAGCTAATTAACTCAAACCACCTGCAAAAGCCTTTAAATGGTCTTTCAGTCTAGTTCTATAGGCTACACAATCATGGGGAAGACTGCTGACTTGACAGTTGTCCAAAAGACGACCATCGACACCTTGCACAAGGAGGGCAAGACACAAAAGGTCATCGCTAAAGAGGCTGGCTGTTCACAGAGCTCGGTGTCCAAGCACATTAATAGAGTGTCGAAGGGAAGGAAAAGATGTGGTCGAAAAAAGTGTACAAGCAAGAGAGATAACCGCACCCTGGAGAGGATTGTGAAACAAAACCCATTCAAAAATGTGGGGGAGATTCACAAAGAGTGGACTGCAGCTGGAGTGAGTGCTTCAAGAACCACCACACACAGACGTATGAAAGACATGGGTTTCTGCTGTCGCATTCCTTGTGTCAAGCCACTCTTGAACCACAGACAGCGTCAGAAGCGTCTTGCCTGGGCTAAAGAGAAACAGGACTGGACTGCTGGTGAGTGGTCCAAAGTCATGTTCTCTGATGAAAGTAAATTTTGCATTTCCTTTGGAAATCAAGGTCCCAGAGTCTGGAGGAAAAGAAGAGAGGCACTTCATCCACGTTGCTTGAAGTCCAGTGTAAAGTTTCCACAGTCAGTGATGGTTTGGGGTGCCATGTCATCTGCTGGTGTTGGTCCATTGTGTTTTCTGAGGTCCAGGGTCAACGCAGCCACATACCAGGAAGTTTTAGAGCACTTCATGCTTCCTGCAGCTGACCAACTTTTTGGAGATGCAGATTTCATTTTCCAACAGGACTTGGCACCTGCACACAGTGCCAAAGCTACCAGTACCTGGTTGAAGGACCATGGTATCCCTGTTCTTAATTGGCCAGCAAACTCTCCTGAACTTAACCCCATAGAAAATCTATGGGGTATTGTGAAGAAGAAGATGCAATACACCAGACCCAACAATTCAGAAGAGCTAAAAGCCACTATTAGAGCAACCTGGGCTATCATAACACCTGAGCAGTGCCACAGACTGATCGACTCCATGCCACGCCGCATTGCTGCAGTAATACAGGCCAAAGGAGGCCCAACTAAATACTGAGTGCTGTACATGCTCATACTTTTCATGTTCATACTTTTCAGTTGGCCAACATTTCTATAAATCCTTTGTTTTTATTGGTCTTCAGTAATATTCTAATTTTCTGATATGATGAATTTGAGATTTTCATTTGTTGTCATTTGTAATCATCAAAATTAAACAAAATAAACATCTGAAATATATGAGTTTGTATGTAATGTATGAATATAATATACAAGTTTCACTTTTTAAATGGAATTACTGAAATCAATCTACTTTTTCATGATATTCTAATTTTATGACCAGCACCTGTATTCCTTTCTTGCTTGCTTGCTTCTAATCTTAGGTTACTTATATCCTTAAGAAACTAAAAGAGTCTTAAAAGTTTGAAAATGGTTCAAAATGACTAGGAAAATTATTTTGGATCAGTCCCTTTCATTATAAGCTTTGATAAAAAAAATTCTGCATAGCTCCTGCTAAAATGTAGATATTTAATAGATAATTCATATGTCAAAAATATTTTACATTAAATAAACACAATGTGGTGAAGTATAGTCTTCTGAGTAACAACCAATGTCAACTAAACCCTAAAAAGAATCAGGCTTAGAGTGATGTCATCTGATTGTAAATGCAGCTGTAGCCTAGATAACATTACTAAACATTATTAGAAGGAACCAGCAGACATCTCAGGCTACATCCACAGACTGTGTTGAGCAGGCACCTCTAAAACCGGTTTCAATGGGTGTGTTTGATTTCAGAGGCTGCGTCCTCCAAGGACCAGGTCTACCTGGACTGGGTCACTGAAGGTCTGTGAAAATAAGGAGGCTGGAAGAGTTTGGCTATGAACTAATGGCGATTTGTGAAACAGTCTGAACTCCTTGTTTCTATTGGAATAACTGGCCTGTTTGTAGAGATCGAACGAAACCAACAAGCCGCTGCAGCTCAGTGTCTCTATCAACCTCCACCACCCAGACCACCTCCTTACCTGGTTCTCCGTCTGTCACCTCGGTGTCACCCTGCTGCTCCTCCTCCTTTAGCTGCTGAATCTATAAAATCTCTAATGCCTCATGAATTCACAGTCACTGCTGCGGCAGAAAAAAACAGAGGGTCAGTCTGATGCCGTCACTCTCTCAGATCCCTCAAGTGCTCCTTCTCCACAGTCACCCTTGGAGGGCCCTCTCCAGGGTCAGACCCCCTTGGGGCTCCCTCTCCAGGGTCAGACCCCCTTGGAGGGCCCTCTCCAGGGTCAGACCCCCTTGGGGCTCCCTCTCCAGGGTCAGACCCCCTTGGAGCTCCCTCTCCAGGGTCATACCCTCTTGGAGGGCCCTCTCCAGGGTCAGACCCCCTTGGAGCTCCCTCTCCAGGGTCAGACCCCCTTGGAGCTCCCTCTCCAGGGTCATACCCTCTTGGAGGGCCCTCTCCAGGGTCAGACCCCCTTGGGGCTCCCTCTCCAGGGTCAGACCCCCTTTGTGTTCCTGTGCCGTCCAGAGACGCTTGAACCCACTGATGAACTAGTCTCTCAAATAAAGCTCTGTGAGAATTCTTCTTCAAGCCCCCTTTGTGGGCCCTCCCTGTCTTCAAGCCCCCTCGGCGGGTGTTCCCCGTCATCATGGCCCCTCCGTGGGCGTTCCTCACCTTCATATAGTTTAGTAATTTTTACTCTGGCTATCTGCAGAGATATTAATCAACAAACAAATGTCTCGGTTCATTTGGATGCTACTGAAAGAAGACTGAATCCAGTCTGAGATAAAAATCATTCACTGCATAAAATCAACATTATTATGTTTATTATAGTGTATGCCTTTTGCATATTTAGATATTTTCTTATCAATAAAGTTCCATTTTTGTATGTTTTTTGTAGAAAAGCGCCACCTAAAGAAGGTAATAAAAAATATACGAAAAGTGCTGTCAGGTCAGTTCAGAAAGAAAACTGAATGTGTTGTGCTTAATAACTGTAGCTCTACACGGTTTTAGACGTTAAATGTGGAATGCTGCGCAAGATTAAACAATCCATATGTAATATCTGCTAAAAGAAAAATAAAGTTTGTCGTTCGTCAGCGTTTGTGCGGTTTAGTAAGTAATTCTCTAATGCACAAGAACATATTGTGGGACAGAAATGCGCAGGTAAGAGCTAAGCTAATAAACATCAACAAAATAAAGACAAGCTTGTTGAACAATATAGTGGCTTTACAGCAGAACAAATGAGCAGCCTTTACATTTGAAATCGGATTTTTGTTATTTTTATTTGAAAAAAAAGGCCTGCAACAGCACCCATTTGGTAAGCAATAAGGCTATGGAAACGCAAATAAGCAGTTTGTTTCCAACAGTCACCTTCATGGCGCCGCACCGTGCTGAAACGTGTCGCAGGTTATGATGCAAATTTTTGTTGATAGAAATTTTTTGATTTGTTGTTTATGTGTACTTACTATCGAAAACATAATTTATTTTGTCCTCCTACACACTAAAAGAAAAAGAAAATCTATTTTTCCATTTTTATACAAAGAAACTCCAATGAGCCACAAGAGGGGGAGGGGGGGCGCTAAAGAGCTGCATGCGGCCCTGGAGCTGCAGGTTGCCTATGAAGGTAGATTTGTTTCTTTATTATTCAATAAAAAAAAAAGTTGCTTCAATCAAAAAATATATTTTCAATTAAAAAAATCTTCACTTCAATGAAAAAAAAATCTTTTCAATCAAAGAAAAAAAGTACTTGAATGCAAAAATATATTTGAGACTCAAAAAAATAAATTTGAACACTGCTTTTCTTTGATTGAAAATGTTTTATTTGATAGAAGTGCACTCTTTTTTGTTTAAAGCAACTTTTAATTGAAGTAATTATGTTTTTTGATTGGACCATATAATGGGTAGGACATTTGTGTCTTTATTATTCAATCAAAAAAGAAGTTGCTTCAAACAAACAAACAACAGAAT